CACCAAAAATGCAAGAGCCCTACCTGAAACCCCTTTTCAGGTTGATGAGCTGGACTTCTTGTCACAATGGCAGGGCGAGAGATACCGATCTGACGAGGTCCATCCTGCAGGGTCAGTAGGGCAGCGTCTAAGCGTTTTTGGCTTGCATTACTTGTTGGATGTAGCGCCTAAACTTGTAAGGGGTTCTGACATCGCGGCGGGCTCGGGCGGCTCAGTTCTTGCTTTGCGCTGGGTGACAGTCGCAGTTGTGACAGAGGATATTCTGTGGGTGAATTTCGTTTTCAGACTTGAAGATTTCAACTTCCACCTCCATGACAGCGAATACGTTACGACCGAGACAAAGTCCGACTTCGCAGCTATTGTAGCGCAGTTGATCACATGAAGACTGATCAAGAGCGGCTTCAGCTCCATATTGCAAGCGGAGAGCGGCAAAATTGCCAGCTCCTTGGGTTTCTACTTGGAGGGTCATGGGACTTAGTAAGTAAGGTTATATATAAGTACCTTAATTGGGGTCTTAAGTAGATAAGTATAGTTACCCTAATTATCACCCTAGTTACTAAGTCCCATGATCCTTTAAGTAGCCTCAACCGAGATGCTTCAACCCCTTGAGTGTCGGAAGACAAAACTCACGAACAGGGCACAGCATGTTACTCTTGTAGTGACCAGGTAAGCGTACTATATAATCCTTCTCCCCTCGCAGATATGCGTGGTTGCGCAACTCAGGAGGTTCCCTATATTGGTCTCCGTCACTCTTCACAATGAGGACCCTCCCTATGCAAGCAATTATACAGCAGATAGTAACACATGAAGTGGTTAGAGTGCTATATACGACATAGCATGTCACATTCTGACAACGATAGTCTCAGATGTCAGTAAGGATAGACATATGTCATACGTATAGCTACTAGTTTTGTATGCTTTCAACATATATAGATCATGGTTGGCACCTGGAGGTTCACCCTGAACCCTAAACCCTAAAACCCTGAACGCTAGCCCTAACTTCCCTACAGCCTACACCCTAAACCCGAAACCCACGCAGAGGTAGAGAGGCAGTTCGACCGTGGTCTCAAGCGCTTGTTGCTTTGCCGCCAGGGCAGACTTGGCTCAAAGGGGCGCCTGGGCATCCAACAGAGATGTGGGAGTTTCCGATAGGGGTACCTTATTTTGGCTTCTTGTGAGAAGGATCCTACTCTTCAGGGTGCTATATTAAGGTCCCAGTACGGCCGTGGCCGGTATGTGCTATGTCATGAACTGTGTAAGTTGTCCTTTCTTTAGCAGTTCTTGCAGGAGCCCCAGTAACGATTACAATCATAATTCGTAGTAGTCCTCGTCGTAGTAGCAGCAGTATTTGCATCATCAGCCGTAGTATGACAGTCGTAGCAGCAGTCGCCGTCGTCGCACTAGTGGTACTGGTCGAACTAGTGGAAGTAGATATCGTTGTGCTTGGCAGTGGTCGTCGTAGTTGTAGTCGTAGTACTAGTAGTAGTAGTAGTAGTAGTAGTAGTAGTAGCAGCAGCAGCAGGAGTAGTAGTAGTAGTAGTAGTAGTAGTAGTAGTAGTAGTAGTAGTAGTAGTAGTAGTAGTAGTAGTAGTAGTATCAGTAGTAGTAGCAGTAGTAGTAGTAGTAGTAGTAGTAGTGGTAGTAGTAGTAGTAGTTGTTGTTGTTGTAGCTGTAGTAGTTGTAGTAGCAACAGTAGTAGCAGTAGCAGTAGTAAGAGAAGAAGAAGTAGCAGTAGCAGAAAGCAACGCAGACACCTGACGGGTTGGAACTTCGGGAGACGGGGCACCACACAAAAGCTTCTGTTGGGTTCAGGAGGTTGCAATTGGTGTGCCAATCAGATCCTGCCGAAGGTGGGCCTGTGGAAACCCGAAAACCGCCCCAACCGTCCGAAGTCGCATGGTCAGCCAAGGTCATCCTTCATGTCTTCGGTGGGATGTATGAAGCGTTAAAGGAGCAACAGCAGCAGAGGCGCCTCCAGAGCTTTCAACATGTGCAGTTCCTTCTTTTTCTTCTGCTGCTCTGCCTCGTGCAGCTACTTGCTGCCTGTCACCGCTACTACCGACGTCCGCTGCAACTGATGCTATTGCTTTCGCAGTAGTAGTCGTCGTGGTGGTGGTGGTAGTAGTAGTCGCAGTAGTAACAGTAGTAGCAGTAGCAGCAGAAGCAGCACTGGCAGTAGGGGGAGTGGTTAAAAAGCCTAAAGCACAGCAATCAGACTAGACTTGAAGTCTCGACGTTCGCATTTGGTTTCCCTGTACATTGGCAGGCCCGTGACTACACGAGTGCATCGGAAAGCATACAGGCGGCTGGCATGCAGAGAATTCGCGGTTTCACTTTTCCTGTGATGCACGACGACAGCTGTCGGTCTGTGCTAGCTAGCAGCCAGCCGTGATGACGTGATAGTGCCGTTAGGATGTGTCTCATAGCTTCTTCTGTAGGAGCCAACTTAAGCTTAAGATGCATTTACAAGATGATTCACGTGCACGGAGGAGTCGCTGGACCCAAGTTGCATTCCGGCTTCGGGCTTTATGTACAGGCTGCAAGACGTGGCAACAGGTCGATTCGAGGAAAGTTCAGGTGTTCTGTTTACGGCACAGTATTCGAACTCTGCGTGATCAGTCGACCAAGCATGTGCCCTTGATTTTGCTGGCATGCGCCGACAAGATTTGTCCATCATTTTGCTGTAGTTGTTTTGGTGCTTTTCCAGCACACTGGGCAACAGCTGCATGAAGCCCACAGCTTCCAAATGAAGGCCGAATATGTACATGGGCTCGAGCACGTGATATCCTGTTGTTTTGGGATTCCCTATAGTATATCAACTACAGTAGAATCGGCCCCCAAACCCTATTCTGATGATTAATTGCCGTAAATTACGTGCCTTTGAGCCCTGTGCCGGCCTCCGCAATCGGCTGCCGCACCAAAGCAGAATTCAGACTTGCTCGTAGGAATCGTCGATGGCTGCCAACAATAGGGCGGCAGCGCATAGAATGTCGGATCAGTTTGTCACTCCAGGACATGGGCGAGTGAGTATAATAACTATATTTGTGCATACTTTGCATGTATGTAAAAGATGTATGTATTACAAATGCACACTGACGTGCATACATACATACATACGTACCGACATACCCACGTACATACATACATGCATACATACACATATGTTCTATATACATATTTACGCATTGAGATTCTTCCTATGCACTTAATTCATACATTCGGCTTCGTCGGCATTTTCGAGAACTAGTGATTCAAGCACGAGACATATACGCGAAGACATCTTTAGGGTGAACAACTTCCATGCGCGCGCAAGAAATCTCCGATACCGATGCACGATCGAAGCGGAGCTTCGCTACACCAGCAGTTCTTGGCCCACCTGCATCCCACAGGCAAACAGAAAGGCAACACGATTGCTCCGAGAGCAGCCGATTCACGGACTGCCACTACGAATATTAATTATGCCTGTTGGACTCAAGGGTTTAAACCCATAGGCCCCAAAGTAGTTCCTTTTTGGGATTACCTTATAGGATTCTATATATGAACCCCAAAAAGGAACTACTTTGGGGCCTTTGGGTAAAGTTTACACTGATACCTTGCTGGAAGCCAGCCCAGGCCGTTCAGAGCCCTAGTTGCAAGCGTCTCCCTTGCAGAGGAGGATTGTTCCATACTGACTGGTGTCCCTTTTTGCTACTGCTAGGACCCTTGATTGCCGTAGACTCTTGTCCTTTTTGAGCCACGTAGCATAACAGGTTGCAGGATTCTGAACAATCCCTTCTGAAGTTGGATTAGAAGGGCTTCAGAAGCCCCGTCGATTATTTCGTCTCCGACCGGGGCTACAGCCCCACAGCATGCTATGGAATGCTTACAGAAAAGCAGTGGATCATCCAGACCGTTTTGCAATATGAGCCGTTGAGGATTGTTCTTGTTCCTAGACTTATCACTATCCTGACTTGTATGACTGTTGCGATTCAGTTTTAGGGCTCATTGACCATTGGTCGCAGTCTTTTCGTCATGTTTGCTACATGTCACTGCTTCAAAACGGCTTAGCATTTGGAGTTTGGATAGGGTTCATGAATATATATATATATATATATATATATGTATACACACACATATGCATATACAGAGTAGTAGGTAAATGAATATTCTAAATATGATTATACGTGTATATGCATATATATATATATATATATATATATATATATATATATGTATATATATATATATATATGAATACAGAATATGTACGTGTGTGTATGTGTGTGTATATATATATATGTATGCACACACGACCTTGAGAGGGACGCCACGGTGCCCGGGCAGCCACCTTTGATCTGGCCCAAGCCATGACTAGGAGCCTTTCCACAGAGTTGCAAGGTCCCCTAAAAATGGAGTTTAAGGTTTATCGGGCTGATAGGGTTTAGGGATCTCCCTAGGGTCGACTCTTTTGGATCGAGCTGTGTTTTTTGAGGGGGGTTTTTGCACAACTGCATCTCCCTGCCGCGTCGAAATGCTGCGGGAAGCCTTTGCTGCCCGAGGGCATGGAGTGAAGAAGTACGCGAGGGACCTGCCTCTTCTTCTTGGCATCTGTGCAGCTCTCAGTAAAAAAAGATCGGCTCGAATATCCTATAGCTTAACATACCATAATCTACTAGTAAAGTATGCTCGAATATACTGGAATTTGCTGAACATACCATGACATACTGTAGTATACGACAATATCCGACAATGTCCTATAGTTGTGGGGCTGAGAGGTTAGCAAGGTGTAAGGTTTGGGGTTCATGGCGAGACTCTAGACGCGTAAGCCCGAGATCCTACGCTCAAATCCCTGAACCCCAAAAAGGAAGTAAAACCCTAAGCCAAAACTCCCAAGACCCACAACCGTAGCGAATGTGGAATCCCTAAACCCGAAACCGTAAACCTCCAAACCCTAAACCCTGAACCCTAAAACCCTAAACCCTGAACCCTAAAACCCTAAACCCTAAACCCTGGAATGTTTGGGAAAAGGTGCCCTGGTGGCCCAGCTGCAGCCCCGGACCCAGCCTCTGGCTGTGCAGGACCGATATCTCCCCTGCTAGGACTTGCCTTTGCCGCCCTTACCTGGACCCCCAAAGGATGTAATAGTAACAGTAACAGTAATAGTAATAGTAATAGTAGAAAAACAGCCTTGTTTTGGTTTCCGTTCTTTCGCTTTCCTTTACCTCTCTGCCCCTTCTTTCAAGGGTCGTTGCCTCCGACCCTTCCTTCCCACGTTCTCCAGCCACGCCGTCATTGCTTGCTTGGTGTGTTTCGAAACGAGCATTGACTAAGCTCAGAATGCACGTCTTCTCATTCCAGCGGTCGATCGGTGAGTGTTTATTCCCTCGGCGTCTTGACAGATTTCGAGCGATGCTTATTTCCCTTCTTGCAGATACATTCACGTACAATTAATAAGCTTAGACGGGGGTGGGGTGCAAGGCGTGATCAACAATTATAATGATTGTTGCCAGAAGCAAAAGCCCACGTGTCGTAGGGTTTAGGGTTTCGAGGGATGTAGGGTTAAGGAAACCCGTATACCCTAAACCCTAAACCCAGGAAACCCGTATAACCCTGGAAAGGAGGAACGAGGCCTCGATGCCTTTCCTGGCGCACCGAACTGGCTCGTCTATCCCTGGGAGTCGCCTTTCGCTGCCTTTCTCAAGTGAACTTAGTGGGTTTAGGGTTTTGGGTTTTGGGTTTAGGGTTTAGGGTTTAGGGGTTTAGGGTTTAGGGTTTAGGGTTTTGGGTTTTGGGTTTAGGGTTTAGGGTTTAGGGTTAGGTGGCTTTAGGGGCTTCAGGGTTGTAGAGCTCCTGGGCTTGCAGGAGCTTACCTATAGTCTCCGTTGTCGACCTAGGGGGTTTATGGTTCCTGAAACAGAAAATCCACCGTGAACTGCTTGGTCGCAAGCTATTCTGCAGTGATGACAGCAGAGGCTGGCACTTGCGGAAAGTGCCGGACTCAGATCTCGGTGTGTTGTGGCTTCACGCACCTAGACAATTTATTTCTAAAACCCCCTAAACCCTAACCCTTTGGCATAGATAATGGACATTAGGCTTATTGCTGGGGAGGCGAATTATACGTAAGCTCAACACGCGGAAGACATCAGAAGGCAAAGTATGTGCAAGGTCGGTTCGCTCACGACGTAGAGAGGTAGCAGCTGGCAGAAGTTGCTTTGAGGGTCTTTGCCGACCGAAAGCCCTACAGTAACTAGAGATTCTCATAACTAGTTCCTGAAGCTATGTAGACACATGTTAATCACTTGAGGGCCACAAAGTATGCCCAAATCCTTCTGCGGCCTGCACCAACGAGCATCTCCACCACTCGAGGGGCTCTTTTCCGTGAGCGCTGTCGTCCGCAATCGTTGAATATTGATCGCGAGAGTGGATGAGAGTCCCTCTAGAACTTCAGACTTCCGCCCCAGCTCATTCGGGAACCTGCGCGCCTTACCCGTACAATCGAAGCTCCGTTCGGGCACTAGCAAAGGAACCGATGAGAGCCTCGACAGATTGCCCTGAAGTCTTCCAGCACTCCCATCTTTGGGCTCTCCCCAAACCCAAATTTCGGCTCTCCCTAAACCCTCAACCCTTCCTGTCCACCGCAAACCCGAACTCATCCTGTCTCATCCACGAGGATCCCTTCAGACATACAGAGGGTCATCCGACATGTCTCTTGGCTGCAGGATTCAGGGCGTAGCCCCCCAGAGTGATCCATGAGGCTCTTCCGGTTCGTTGAGGTTTCGGGTCTTGCATTGCGATATCCTACACCCTATCAACCTGTTGACGGGTCTTGGAGTTTGTTATTTCCTAAACCCTAAAGCCCCAAACCCCAAATCCTAAACTCCTACACCTTCAGTCCTAAACCCTAAACCCTAAACTTTAGCCTATTCAGCATTTGCCTGAGCGGCTTCGCAGCTGTTTGCGGGGCCGGGTAAGAAAAAGACACAACAGATAGGACAGTTGCCTCGTTGCTCCTTTGACCTCTAAAGTAAGTAGGGCCCTGTTCTCCTAAATTAGGAGGAAATTAAACGAAGCCCGCGTAATTCCGTTGCTATTCCTTAGGACTCCTTATATCAACTACCGTACATTGTAGTTATAATATACCCCAAAAACCCTGTTCCAAGTTAAGGCCCCCATATCAGGCCCTGAAATATTCTTAGATAGCCTGTAAAGAGACCCTTTGAAGTAGGACACCTGTTGAATTCATCAAGGCCCTTCTATCATTGGATTCCACGGATGTTTTGTTGTGCTGCCCAAAGGCCCCAAAGTAGTTCCTTTTTGGGGTTCATATACAGAATCTTACAAGGTATTCCCAAGAAGGAACTACTTTGGGGCCTATGGGTGGGCCCAGGTCGGGCAAGACGAGGAAAACCGCGAAGTGCTTGTGGTCAACTTGGCAGATGAGCGACTTGGTTTAGGGTTGAGGGTTTCAGGGCTTATTTGGGGTTCAGGAATTACAGGACTTAGGGTTGAATTCGGAGTTTAGCGCTTCATAGGCTTACCCTAGATTGGAGACCCTGCGCTCTGCTTCGGGGCTGTGGGGAACTTGGCCTATGGCTTGCCTGCATCTTTGGCTCGCAACTGCTTGCTATGTGAGTTTAAGGGTGTGAAGAAGCTGTGGGCTCGCAAATAGGATTGGGATGATTCGCGTGTAATGTGCGCAGCAATGCTCTCGCAAAGCTGAGGCACATGACGGTGGGCGAGTCCCAGTTGCTGGCACAACAAGCGTGACTTGGTTGCTGTCTTTCACCGGAAGTCTTGAGCACACCAGGTGTCCAGACCGAATGCAGCCACATAATGCTCATGAATCTACTGTAAAGGCCTTAATAACTGCCTATGATATTTTGAGTGTTCCTTGTTGGAGTTATAGTATAATGGCCCCCAAAACCCTTTCTATTTATTAAGGCCCCTAGATCATGGTTCGCTTATGGTATCCCTTATACTAGCCCCTATAGACCCCTGTAAAGGATGAATTTATCTGTTTCTGAAGGCTTTGTGGCTTAGACAGCGTGGCGAAGTCCATCGGCTGGACGCTGCTTGTCTGCAAGAGACTTTCGCAGCCCATGCACCAACTGGTACGTACATAGGTAACGCGAGTACTGAAACTAATTCGAATATTAGTATTCATACGAATACGAATATCAGTACTAATATATCTACTGACTGATTCTTGGCAGCCTTCCGAGCGAAGCGAAGCAGAAATTTCACCACACGAGTGTTGAGTTGTCACTGCTCCCCTGAACCTGTCAGAGACTTTGGCCGCAAAGCCTTCCGAACGAAAGTCTTTGAAGCCAGGCGGCCGCAAGTGGCAGAGCACATGTTTCGCATGAGAAGCTTGGCTGAACTTCCCAGAGAACCCAGGAGCTGTATAGCCCCGTAATACCGGAATAGCCCTCGAACTTGTCTGTCGGGCTTGTCAGGATACTTTAAGGACCATCCCTCAATTACGGGTTCTTACAGGTTTGTCGAAATACCGATGCCATCCCATGCCCTCCAACTCTGAAGCCCCAAGCCGTCCGTATTCGCAACCAAAGATTCAGAAGGCGTCAACGCTCTAGTCTGTGAGTCGTGCATGATATAGGAGCCTTAATAGTTATGAATACTATTTTGGGGGTTCCTTATTATAGTTATAGTATAATGGGCCCCAAATCATTATTCTAATTATTAAGGCCCCTATATTACGCCTCTGGGCCTGGATTCAAAGCTCCGCTTACAGCCACTTTAAAAAAAGGACACGTCAACTTATAGACCCCGAGCCGAGCAAAGGCAGACAAACTATGTGTGCATGTCTACCTATATGACTGTACATATGTAAGTATGTATGCACGTACGTATGCATGCAAGCATGCATGCATACACACAGCACCTCGTAGTATATATATATATATATATATATACACACACACAATTTGTCCAATGGATGTATAAAACCTAGCTTGACGTTTTCTGAGAAAGCTTCTGAACCCTTCAGCCCTGAACCCGTGCAACCCTCAAAGCCATAGCCCTGAACCCGAAAACGCTGCAAGGGCGTATATCCATAGACACCTTATCAGCCCTGAACCCCTTGCCCCTTGCAGCTCTTAATCGTAAACACGTGAAAGGCCCTCAAATAGTGTGAAATGCATGTAGAGATATGTTTAGAGCACATACAAGCTCTTAAAGGCTTCAAAAGCTTCTTGAAACATCAATATATCAAGAACCCAGAGTCTCATAATCCCCCGAAGCCACAAAAGCCCTTGAACATTCCTCAAAAGCCTGTAAAGTCTAAACACTTCAATATTACTGAACACCCGGAAACAGAGAGCCCTTTAACTTTAAGCACATGAACACCCGCAAGAAGCCGAACCCTATAGGCCCTGAATGCCTGACGCCCCAAAACCCCCAGCCCACCAAACCATAAACCCTAAAGCCCCAAAACCGCCAGCCCGCCAAGCCCTAAACCCCAATCCTAGAACCCTAAACCCCAAAACCATAAACCCCAAAACCCAACACCCTAGACCCTGAGGCTTGATCGTGGACTGCTCCAAGCTAAGCCTCGGCAACTGGCTGCCCTGCATTCGATGTATCATCAGGGCCCCTCAGCGGCCTAAGAAGCTGTCTGGGTTTAGGGTTCAGGGTTTAGGGTGTAGGCTAGTTTGGGTTTAGGGTTCAGGGTGCAGTAGGGTAGTTTGGGTTTGTTGTTTAGGGTTTATAGGAATTTGAAGTTGAGGCTTGAGGTTTAGACGGCTTATCGAGTTTACGGATTAGTGCTATTAAGTTTCAGGTGGGGCTTCGGGAGGATAGAACCTGGAGTATCAGAGTTTAGGGTTGTTAAGTGTAGGGTCGTGCTTTGTGGACCGTTCGACTCCGGAGAATTAGGGCTCGATGTCTATGCCTGGCAAAAGGCTCGATACAGTATTAGATTGCCGTAAGCGGGGGTAATTGTTGTAGGTGGGGCGATTTGAGGCTTTCGTTTCCGAAGGCAGGGCTATTTGGGGCTTAGGGCGTAAAGAGTTGAGTTTAAGATAGGGTTTTCGGGTTTCGGTGTTTGGCACATGTGGAGGGCCACGTGCTTAATATGTACATCATGAGGATTGGCGTGATTCTTGCTGTACCTCTGTATGGCTTTAGACATTTCGTGCTAGTGTTGTTGTATTTCATTAAACCCTCAACCCTAAACCATGGCTCTGCGCTTTGAGGTGATCAAGGCCATTCAGCCCTTTGTGTCGCCCTTCTACGACCGCCTCCCTGGGGACATATCTGTGCTGGATCCGCCCCCGGTAGCGAACTCCGAGCCATGGTTGGCAGCTGGAGTTCGGGGTTCAAGCTTTGGGTTCTAGGGCCTCGCTTCAGCATGTCTTTCGCAAACTCGTTGACTTCTCCACCATGTTATGCCATAGTAACTTTAGCACTTCCCATCATCTTCATCATCATACCTGGACCCCAAAGGTATGTAGAATAATAGCCTTTTGTAGGTTTTGGTTTTTATTTTACATATTTTGGGGGTCTTGGTAGTCACCATCATCACCAGTGCATCTTCTTCTCATGTTTTCGGGAGCATAGGCCTGGCTGATGGTTCAGCCTTGGCTGGGGCAACCGACTCGGGAAGTCGTCCACTTCGTGAAGTCCGCCGATCTCAAGGGGAGCAATGCTCCCGAACTCGAAGCAGAGAGTGAGGAGGACACCGGTTTCTGGGATGTGCCGCACTAAGGAGGGCCCTTTTAAGGATGCCCTTAAGGAAGGGCCCGCCTTTAAAGGAGCTTGACGGGGTTCAAAGTACCAGCAAAAATGAGATTCTTTCACGGTCTTGGCATGTGCAAAACGCACATCCGACGTTCGCGTTGCCAGTGTTCCGCTGACTTGAACAGCCATGCCGCATGCCCTATGTACAGATTGCCAGATGTCTTGGCCTTGGCACACTTTGGGGAGAAATCTCCCTCGTGGGCTCGTGCAGAGACACGCTGACTATAGTGCCATGGACTCTGAGCATTTGAAGGTGCCAACTGCAGAAGCCAAGTCACAGCAAGTCACCAAAGTCGTTCAGGCTAGGGCAACAACTAGACTTTGACACCTCGACGAGGAAGAAGATCACTAGTTACGATGGCTGCTGGGTCCTGTTACTTTCTGAGCTTGCTGATGTCATTCGCGATTACGCGTGTCGTGGATCAATGTGCCCTGTGGGCTATGCATGAAGGGACTTCGATGGGAGCGCGGGTGGGTCCAAAAGTGTCGATTTCGACAACTTTGCAGATTATTCACCAAGCTTGTGATTGTTTCCGTGGCCTGGAAGTCCCTGTGTGTGGTTACAATCATGTAGGCCCCTGGTTGAAGACAATTGCAATAAGGCCGACTAAGGACTTTGAAGACGGGCAGGGGTTCATCAATCAGAGGTCTACTATCCCGAGCGAGGCTGCTCCTATCCGGCAGCTTCCAATTAAGTTTTTGCGTCTTTTTGCTGCACCGCTAAATGTATGGAGGAGCTTCACTTGCCGTGTTGCTCGCACATGCGTTTGCCAGTGTCCTCCCAAGCACTTTCCATAACGTCTGCAGCTTAACTCGCGCAGCCTGATGTGATCTACTACCACTACTACTACTACTACTACTACTACTACTACTACTACTACTACTACTACTACTACTACTACTACTACTACTACGACTACGACTACGACTACGACTACGACTACGACTACGACTACGACTACGACTACGACTACTACTACGACTACTACTACTACTACGACTACGACTACGACTACGACTACGACTACGACTACGACTACTACTACTGCTGCTGCTGCTACTACTACTACTATTATTGCTCCTGCACTACGAATATTACGAGTACTACTACTAGTACTACGACAACAACTACTACAACACTGCACAACGCCAGCGACCGCCACTGCTACTCCTGCTGCTTTAGGTGACGCTCCTGTACTGCCACGGGTGCTATTTGCCATTGCAATGTTGGTGTACCCATAGAGAGAGAGCCATTTCCACTGGACGGATTATCGGCATGGATTACGGACACTTGATTTGCAAAGACGCATTGGCTTTCACACCAACGGATTTGTTGGCAAGTGCTTGGCAGAGGAGGCACGGGCAATTCCAAATGCTTTTCTGATACCAGGATGCAGTTTGGAGTTTACTCGGACTTCGTCCCGGCTTCACATCGGCGGCACCCTCTACATCACACGAAAGAGCTAAGAGCTGCTGTGATAAGATGCATGTATGCATGCTACAGTTTGTCTGGCTCACGGATGCTTCTGTGCAAGTGTCAAAGTGTAGGGGGGAGCTGCCAAGCACAACGTTTGATTAACTTCTCGGCTGGTGTCCTTCTGGAGACCATGCATGCGAAGGAAGAGAAGCCATGCACTTACCCCTAGAGGCAGTGCATTTCGATCTGATGGAAAATCGGCGGCGCTTCCTGTCTCCATGTGTCGCAGGGATTGCTGAATCGATATGTAAACTTATAATGGGCACTTAAACTGCTAGGTTGCAGGCATGTGCTGTCCCTGCGGCATGCATCGTTAGTTGGGTAGGGGTGTTCTCGGTTCTATATCACGAGAAGATGGTAATTCCTGGGATTCAGACGAATGCATGTCGCTCGTGGATTCAATTAATGTACATGAAGCATCACCACCATCATCACTGTTAGAGTAACAACGACGGTGGCAATCTGAAGAACTCAAAGGCACAATGCATATAGTAGAGTGGGCGCCGAGGGCAGCAGCACAGATCACGTGCTGAACACAGGGGCAATCACAGACATTTGTTTCAGTGACAGACACAAAAGAAACGCAAAGATGCACACATGGTGCTCGTGGTGGTTGTAGTGGGGTGGTAGCGGAGGCAGTGGCAGTGGCAGCGGCAAGTGGCAGTGGCAGTGGCAGCGGTGTTACTGGTAGCGGCAGCAGTGGCAGTGGTAGGGGTGGTTGTCGGCGTAGGGGTGCTGGTATTGGTGGTGGTAGTGGTAGTCGTACTAGTAGTACCAGTAGTACCAATAATAGCAGTAGTAGGAGTAGTACTTGTAGTACTCGTAGTACTACTGGTAGTACTATTAGTACTACTAGTTCTACTAGTACTAGTATTACTACTAGTACGAGTAGTCGTAGTAGCAGTCGCTCAGTAACGGTAGTAGCAGCAGTAGCAGTAACAACAGCAGTAACAGTAGTAGCAGTAGCAGTCCATTCTGAGGGTATCCAGTAAATGTCAGCGAACAGCATCGGAGCAACGCCAAGGCCAGAGATATCCAGCATCGTAACCTGACTTCCTGGCATCCCTACTTAAAGGATCAAGGGACGAAGTAACTAGGGTCATAATTAGGGTAACTTTGCTTATAACTACTTATAACCCCAATTGAGGTACTTATAACCAGTCTCATGATCCTCCAAGTAGCGTCTGGGCTACGGTTTGGCGTTCAGGCTTTAGGGATTCAGGTCTTGGCGACCCTCCCAGCACAATCCGAATCTTCACTTAGAGGGTCACGGAATGCAGTAGGCAGGTCCTCAGTAGGAACGTCAGAAAACCATGGTTAGGATCGCTTCAACTACCTGTTTACTATGGCTCCCGAGCCTGCAGATAGGACTTCGACAAGCTGCATACCCTAAACCCTAAACCCCAAACCCTAAACCCTAAACCCCAAACCCTAAACCCTAAACCCCAAACCCTAAACCCTAAACCAAACCCTAAACCCCAAAACCGCTCTAAGGTCCTGGTGGCCTGCTGGAAGTGGTGAACATGATTTGCACGTCCCTCGCGCAAGTGTTTTCCCTGGTCCGGGCACATGAGTAGTTCTCTAAATGGGGATCCCCTTCTAGGTCACCAAGATAGTACGGCACCCTTATAAAAAAGGATCCTAAGAGGGACCCCAACTTAGAGAATTTGCCACATGGGTTTCGGATTTCAGGGATGCGGTTTTGCTATTTAGCTGAGGGCGGGAACTTGTTTTCTCTCGACTCTCTTGTTTGGAAGCAGAGGTAAACTCTTTACCTCTACCCCCTAAACCGAGCATGCATGCAGGTGGTGTCGAACTTGAGCCTGCACTTGCGCAGATTTCCTGTCACAACAGGTGGTTCGAAGCTGCAACAACCTAATATAGGGGCCTTAATTACCTATACTAGTTTGGGGCCGCTTTCGGCGGCCCCGTCGATGTGGATGGGCTTGTGGTTGTCGGCTATGGGTCTGTAAGAACAACAATCATCGAAAATAGAAATATATCAATAGCAAGAAGAATCCTAAATTCCGATCCCTGAGCCAGTTTAAGAGTTTGTGCTCGGTATCGCGCGGGCATGCTGACAGCTCGGTTGCCAGGCCGACGACGAAGAGTGCCAAAGAGCTGCGCGTAAAGTGGCAACAGAAGGAGTTCAGTTCTCTCTGGGGTTTAGGGTTTAGGAGTGGCTTATAGGGTTTTGGTTCAAGGGTTTGGGGGTTAGGGTTTCGGTTTCACGCGATTTCAGGGTTTCGGTTTAGCGTCTCGGGTAAGTTTTTTTGACTAGGCGCGCGAAGGGCTGCCCGGTAATCTTAGCTTTGGTTAGTAGGGAATGGGGGAGTGGGGTACAATTATAAATACTATTACTACCATTCTTCCATTTCCTACTAACCAAAGGTAAGTAATGAGCTACCTTGAGGCAACCAGAGGCCGCCTTCCGCAAAAAGAACAGCTGAGGCCTAAGCCTTAGGCCCTTGACCTAAGAATCGGCCGAAAGCCCACAACTCAAAAGAAAACTTGAGACTAAGCTAGAAGCCCCAACCGTCCAGAGCTTGAAACCCTCGCATGAAAGCATTGTTCGTGATTGTTTAGCCTCGTATATTGTACTCTTTATAGTATCCCGTCCAATGGTCCCCAAACCCATAACCCTCAAAGATCATAGCCCTTCTTCCCGTCCAATGGTCCCTAAACCCATAACCCTCAAAGATAATAGCACTTATGTTAGGGTTCTATAGGGGGAGACCCACAGGCCTTTATGAATACACCCGGCGAATAGCCCTTCTTCGAAGCCTTGTGCAGGAGTTCGGCAAGGATGCGCTTTTCGACTCCCTCTTTCCTGATCTGAAGCAGTTTAAGGCACTAGGGCTCCTCCGGCCTCTAGGGTTTTGGGGTTTTGGGGTTAGGGGTTGGGGTTTAGGGTTTATGGTTCAGGGTTGAGGGTTTAAGGTTTAGGGTTTAGCGGTTAGGGTTTAGGGTTTAGGGGTTAGGGTTTAGGGGTTAGGGGTTGTTGGGCTAGAGGGGTTCTATACTTCGGTGCTGGGTAGGCAACCTTCCAGCATCTGGGGTGTATGTAGTTCCACCGTCGTTTAACTACGCATTCGAAAGGTTCACTTCTTCGGCTAGTTTTGTCAGCCGTAAGTCTCGGTCTGAGGGTTCGAAAATGGTTCTATGAGTATACCCTATAACGGTTCTACTTAAAGGATCATGGGACTTAGTAACTATGGTTATAATTAGGGTAGCTATACTTATAACTACTTATAACCCCAATTAAGGTACTTATAGCCTTACTTACTAAGTCCCATGATCCTCCAAGTAGAGTCTGCAAGGGTTTGTGCTAAGCTCGCTTGAGGTTCTGGCAACCCCAGAGTTCCTTCGTGCATCCCCCTGAATCCTACGTCTGCGGCATGTTTTGTTCAGAACAGGGTTCGGGGTTTAGATCCTAAAATATCCTAAATCTTCATCTTGACTGTACGCTGAATCTACACCCTAAACACAA